TAGATCAGGAGTGAACCATAGAGATGAAGATCACGTGGAGGATTAGCAACAGGGGAGTGGGAGAATGAGAAGGGGGGAGAAGGTACAGAAAATAAGTAGCATAGACAGTAGATAGAAAATAGATAAGGGGGAGGGTAAAATAGTAGGGAAAATATGGAATCTAAAGAACCTGAGACATGTGTTCATGAACTAAAGGGGGGAATGGTGGGGGAGAGGTGTGCAGGGTGGAGGGGAATGGAGGGGGGAATAGAACAAATGTAATGGCATAATCAATAAAAAATGTTAAAAAAAAAAGAAAGAAAGAATGTCAGAAAAAAGTCCTTACCAATTTCATGGATATTTAAGATCTGAGAAAAATAAATAAAGTTTTAGAAGAAAATGTAGTTAAAAAGATTTCTTAGAAAACAAAGAAAGCATTTACTATAAAGAAAGTGATTAATATACCTACTTTAAGAATTTTTGTGTATTACAAAGACACCATTATGAGAGTTAACTTCCAGCCAATATGGAGGCGTAGGTACACACACTATGCCTCCTTGCACAAGCAAAAGAAGGACAACAACAATTTAAAAACAAAAACAACCAGAACTGACAGAAAACCAAACTGTATGGAAGTTTGACAACCAAGGAGTTAAAGAAGAAACATTCATCCAGACCAGTAGGAGTGGCAGAGATGGGCAGCCAAGTGGAGAAGACTTGCGGCAAGGCAACGGCTGGTGGACCTGGTGAGGTGGTGGGTTGTGGAGCAGGGGGTCCCACATTCACATGCAGATAAACCAGGAGGAACAACTGAGGAGACAGACCATGCAACCCAGGGTTCCAGTGTGAGGAAATAAAGCCTCAAACCTCTGACTGAAAACACCAGTGGGGTTGATGTGGCAGTGGGAGGAACTCCCAGCCTCACAGGAGAGTTCATTGGAAAGACCCACAGGGTCCTAGAACATACACAAACACACCCACCTGGAAATTAGCACCAGAAGGGCCCAATTTGATTATGGGTAGCAGGGGAAGTGACTGAAAACTGGCAGAGCAAGTTTTTGTAGTAAAACTTACATAGTAAGAAAGTGGAGCAAGCACCATTGTTCCCTCTCGGATCCCTTACCCACATATAGTGTCACTGCCCAGTGATGTGAGTTGCCCTGACCTGGCAAATACCTAAGGCTCCACCCCTTACTACATAACAGGCATGCTAAGACCCAAAATGTGACCCAAATGAAAGATCATATCAAAGGTCCAGGAAAAAAATACAGCTAAGCAATGAAGAGATAGCCAACCTATCAGATGCACAGTTCAAAACACTGGTAATCAGAATGCTCACAGAATTGGTTGAATATGGTCACAAATTAGATGAAAAAATGAAGGCTACGCTAAGTGAAATAAAGGAAAATGTACAGGGAACCAACAGTGTTGTGAAGGAAACTGGGATTCAAATCAATGGTGTGGACTAGAAGGAAGAAAGAAACATTCAACCAGAAAAGAATGAAGAAAATAAGCATTCAAAAAATGAGAAGCTTAGGAACCTCCAGGACATTTTTAAACATTCCAACATCCCAATAATAGGTGTGTCAGAAGGCTAAGAGGAAGAGCAAGAAATTGAAAACTTACTTGAAAAAATAATTGAGGAGAACTTCCTCAATCTGGCAAAGGAAATAGCCTTCCAGGAAGTCCAGGAAGCTCAGAGAGTCCCAAACAAGTTGGATCCAAGGAAGCACACATTAAGGCACATCATAATTACATTACCCAAGATTAAATATAAGGAGAGAATTGTAGAAGCAGCAAGAGATAAGGGGACAGTCACCTACAAAGGAGTTCCCATCAGACTGTCAGCTGATTTCTCAAAAGAGACCTTACAGGCAAGAAGGGGCTGGAAAGAAGTATTCCAAGTCATGAAATGCAAGGACCTACATCCAAGATTGCTCTATCCAGCAAAGCTTTCATTTAGAATGGAAGGGCAGACAATGTGTTTCTCAGATAAGGTGAAGTTAAGAAGTTCATCATCACCAAGACCTTATTATATGAAATGTTAAAGGGACTTATCAAGAAAAAGAAGATAAAAAATCTATACAGTGAAAGGACAGCAAACTCACAGTTATTAACAACCACACCTAAAACAAAAGCTAACTAAGTGGACAGCTAGACCAGGAGCAGAAACATAGAAATGGAGATCACATGGAGGGTTAGCAACAGGGTAGTGGGAGGGGGAGAAAGGGGGAGAAAGTATAGAGAATAAGTAGCATAGGTGGTAGGTAGAAAATAGACAGGGGGGAGGGCAAGAATAGTATGGGAAATATAGAATCTAAAGAACTTGTCACACATGGACATGAACTAAAGGGGGGAATAGGGGGAGGGGGTTTGCAGGATGGAGGGGAATAAAAGGGGGAAATGGGACAACTGTAATGGCATAATCAATAAAACATATTTTAGAAAAAAGAAAAAAAGATTTGTGTACTCGCTGTATGTAAATTATACCTCAATAAAAAAAAATCCTCCTTAAAAAATTTCAGTGCATTCAACAGTTACACTGATTAAAAATTAAAAGCTTTGGAGAAAAAAATAAGAAACTAACTGATTTGTCAATGGAAAACTACTTCTAAGAATAAAAGCAGTGACTGGAAAGATTAAGGAAGAACCTAAAAGAAAGGAAGAAAAAGAAACATGAAAGAAAGAAAGAAAGAAAGAAAGAAAGAAAGAAAGAAAGAAAGAAAGAAAGAAAGAAAGAAAGAAAGAAAGAAAGAAAGAAAGAGGAAGGAAGGAAGGAAGGAAGGAAGGAAGGAAGGAAGGAAGGAAGGAAGGAAGGAAGGAAGGAAGGAAGGAAGAAAAGGAAGAATTCTAGATTTGACTTTGGTGCAGGGAGAAAAACCTGTTAATTAATAACCACCATAAAAATTTATGGAAAACTCACTGATAATAAAAGAAATGCAATATTTGTGTATCCTTCTATACTATATAATGTTGAAGGTGTTTTTAACTTCCATAATACATATTGAACTATGTTCCTCTATCTCTTTTATTGGTGGTGATTTTTATATTTTCCTCTAGTCAGCTTATGGTGTTCTTCAAGGAATAGATTTCATATATGCAGATTAATCTTTCACCTTGTTCTTTATTTAGATATTATCTTTTCTTTCTATTATCAACATTTTTAATGCAAAAATAGTACTAGTGCTGGGACAACTGGATATTCCATACATAAACTTTTACTTTGGACCCCCTATATCATATCATATACATCAAAATGCATTAACATCCTAAATATGAGAGGTATTGCCATAATAGTTTCAGACAGAAACCATAGCTGTCAATCTTTATGACTTTGCATTTGGCAATGTGTTCTTAAATATGAACCAAAAGTATGAGCAACAAAAAAAATAAACTGAATTTTGTTGACATTAAAATCTTTGTGAATCAAAGGTCATCACCAAAAAATGAAAAGACAACCTGAAGAATGGAAGAGAGTATTTGCAAATCATAGCTCTGATGTGAGTCTAGTTTCCAGAGTATATAAAGATGAACAACCTGATGAAAAAGGATGATGACACTAAAAATATAAAAAACTAGATGAAAAAAATGAACAAATGACTTGAAAACACTTTCTCCAAAGAACGTACAGAAATGGCCAATAAGTACATGTAAAGATGCTCATATTAGTCATTAGAGAAAGACAAAAAAAAAAACAACCCAATGAGATACCACTTTCCACTCTCTAGGAGGACCATAAATTAAAAAAAGAAAAATAACAAGTATTGGAGACATTGGAATGCTCAGACATTGCCAGTGGGATGTAAAATGAGTCAGCAACTGTGGAAACAAGTTTGGTGGGTTGTTCTTCAAAAAGTCAAACATAGAGTGACAATATGGCTCAGCTATTCTCTCCTAGGTGTATACCAAAAGAATAAAAAACAAGCATTCAAACAAATATGTGTACATCCATGTTCATGGTGGGATTACTCACAAGTAGGCAAAAGGCAGAAACAAACCAAATGTCCATGAATGAATGAATGAATGGGTAAACAAATTGTGCTACATCTACACAATGGATTATTTATTCAACCATTAAAAGGGATAAACTCCTGACACATAGTACAATGTAAATGAACCTTGAACACCTTATGCTAAGTGAAAAAGCCAGACTCAAAAGATCAGAGATGATGATTCAGTTTTTATGTAACACCCAGAATAGATAAACCTGTAGAGACAGAAAGCAGATTGCCAGGTGTTAGACAAAATGGGAATGGGAAGTAACTGCCTAGTGGGTACAAGTTTTCCCTTTGGAGCAATAAAATTTGGGGGAGAACCAGAAAAAAGTGGTGCTTTCACAACATTGTTAATGTTTTAATTGATACTGAATTCTTTATTTTAAGAAAAGTGTTAAATTACAAGAGGCTCACATGAGAATTTTAATAACATTAGTGTCTCCAACTTGGTTGATGTAAAAGCTTGGTGCACAGGTTTGAAAGACCAGGTGTCAGAGGATGCTGCTCCTTTATGTCCCCTATACCTGATGTGATGTTGGGCATATAGTTGGTGATCAGTGAATGTCAAAGAAAAAGATACAATAAAAATGTGCATTGAAGCAACTTCCTAAGAAGACCAAGCACCAAAAAATATATGAAACTGCAGCAAACGCTAAGAGCATTTATTACTACTAAAATTTTCAAGCCAAGGCAAGTATGTGCAAGATGTGAGGGACAAGGCAGAACACAATGTAATAAGAATGAGTTGCAAGTGTGATGAGTGGGAAATAAGTCTGGGGCCATGAAGGAAAACTTCACATGCTGTCCTACCAAGTTGGGACTATATCATAAAAACAAGAGGAATCATTGAGGTCCATTGTCCCTTGATCTTGATTAAGTGGCATAAGTGTGCAGAAGCAAGGTCAGTCATTCAGCCTGCTGAGGAATCTGCCCTCACCTCTGCCCTCTGGCTTTCACTGACCTGTAGAGAGAGATTTGGGGGCAGAAAAAGAGAGAAACACTCACAGGCACAGTAAATGCATCCCCTTATGGAGAGGGGAACTTGCCACAGAACAGAATGCAGTTGGCTTTGTTGTGCCTGATGAAGAAAAGGAAGGGGTGATCTGTACAGAACCTTGGCGCATTTTCCAGGCAACAGTCAAAAGCCTCCATGTGTGAGGCAGCTGTAGCCTCAATGCTATCCTCATACACCTCCACAAAAGCCTTGTGCACAAACTTGGGCAGACACAGGTCTTCCTCAGATGACATTGCCAAAAAGTTAGCCTTGCCCACTTGAAAGGCATCAACCATTTCCAAACGTTGAAGCACAGATTCCATGTTATAATGCTCTTCCAGTTTAAATCTTGGAAGGAAAACTTCAACTTCAGTACACATCATATGATGCAGGTTGGTCCAGGCTATGAATTTCTCAAAAGTAAGCTCTTTTCCCATCTGAAAATCCAAGCAGCCATTAGGATTCATACATCGATACATATAAATATGCACACAGACACACTCAAGTACCCTTTCGGGTCTTGGAGATGGGTGTTGATTGTTGCACCAGACCAGAGGCACCTTTATCTGCCAGATTTGTAAGATCTTGCACTCATGCTATTACACACAAGGCTTCCTTGACAAGCAGGGGAGCCCTCAAACCCCCAAGAGGCACAAAGACCTGGCTGCTCCTCCCCTCACCCCTGAGTTCTGAGAGCCTGTTATCTAGTTCTCTATCCTGACAATCAGTAATGCCCAGCTGACAGTGCTATTTTTTCTTTTAACTATGCTAATTTTTTAAAACAACAAGACATTGCTACAAAGCAAAAAGACTTTAAGGGGCCCCCAGTGTAGCTCTTCAGAAAGAGAATCTGCCCAGTGGGGGCAATCCCACATGCTTTCTGGAGTAGAACTTCACAGGGAGATAGATGTAGGGCAAGTGGAGGGATGCACGTCTTTCACAGAGGCTCCTTAGGGCATGGGCAATGGTTGATTCTCTCACCCTAAGGACCTGTGCTCAAAAGGGCAAGGTGGGTGGCAACTGCCTTTTGGGGCTATTTCTGGCTCTGTTCCCTGAGTACTGGTTCTTAACCTCCTCACCTACCCCTTATTAGGTCAATGTGTTAAGATATTTCTCATCTACTGTTTCAGGTTCCAGGTAGAGAAAACAGTTCTTACTTTTCAAAATATAATGCTAATAACAATAATTATGACAATAATAAAGGTCTCATTTACAGAGGGCTCGTATGTACCAAAAAACATCCTGAGCTTCATTCCTCAATTACCCCAATGTTATTCTCACAAAAGCTTTATCAGAAAGATAATATTACCCCCAGTTAGAGATGAGAAAACAGAAACTGAGGCAAGTTAAGCAATTTGGTGAGGCCACATAGGTAATAATACAGAAGTATGTCTTTTTAAAAAATATATTTTATTGATTATACCATTACAGTTGTTATATTTCCCCTCCTTCATTCCCCTCCACCCTGCACACCCCCCCCCCACCACTCCCCCCTTTAGTTTATGACCACGTGTCTCAAGTTCTTTAGATTCTATATTTCCCATACTATTTTGCCCTTCCCCCTATCTATTTTCTACCTACCACCTATGCTACTTATTTTCTGTACCTTCTCCCCCCACTCCCCTGTTGCTAACCCTCCATGTGATCTTCATTTCTATGTTTCCACTCCTGATCTAGCTGTCCTCTTAGTTTGCTTTTGTTTTAGGTGTGGTTGTTAATAACTGTGAGTTTGCTGTCATTTCACTGTTCATCTTTTTTATCTTCTTTTTCTTAGGTAAGTCCCTTTAACATTTCATATAATAAGGTCTTGGTGATGATGAACTCCTTGAATTTGATCTTATCTGAGAAGCACTTCATCTGTCCTTCCATTCTAAATGAAAGCTTTGCTGGACAGAGCAATCTTGGATGTAGGTTTTTGGTTTTCATGACTTGGAATACCTCTTTCCAGCCCCTTCTTGCCTGTAAGGTCTCTTTTGAGAAATCTGCTGACAGTCTGATGGGAACTCCTTTGTAGGTGACTGTCCCCTTATCTCTTGCTGCTTCTAGGATTCTTTCCTTTATTTTAACCTTGGGTAGTGTAATTATGATGTGCCTTGGTGTGTTCCTTTTTTGGGTCCAACTTCTTTGGGACTCTCTGAGATTCCTGGATTGCCTGGAAGTCTATTTCCTTTGCCAGATTGGGGAAGTTCTTCTTTATTATTTGTTCATATAAAAGTTTTCCACTTGCTGCTGTTCCTCTTCCCCTTCTGGTATCCCTATAATTCAGATGTTGGAGTGTTTAAAGATGTCCTGGAGGTTCCTAAGCCTCTCCTCATTTTTCTGAATTCTTGTTTCTTCATATTTTTCTGTTTGGTCATTTTTTTTCTTCCTTCTGGTCCACTCCCTTGATTTGAGTCCCAGTTTCTTTTTCATCACTATTGGTTTCCTGTGCATTTTCCTTCATTTCAATTAGTTTAGCCTTCATTTTTTCCTCTGATTTGTGACTAAAATCAACCAGTTCTGTGAGCATCCTGATCACCAGTGTCTTGAACTGTGCATCTGAAAGTTTGGCTATTTCTTGGTCACTTATAATTATGGACTCTGAGACTTTGAGTTCTTCTTGGGCCATGTTTTGGTCTGTTGGCACCCATTATGTATGAGGAGCAGAGCCTTAGGTGTTCACCAGGGTGGGGCCACCCAGGTCGCTGGGTTGTGAACTATATGTGGGGGCTGGGTCAAAGAGGGGCAATAGCGGTCCCCTCTGCTGCTTCCCGCTGCTGGCGCCTGCCTGGTTTGTCTCACTGCTCGCTCCTTCACTGGTTTATCTGCACGCAAATATGAGACCAAGGTCAGCCTGCCGCCTTGTGCCCTCACTGGGTCCACCTGTTGCTACCCCACACCTGGGATCTGCCCACAGCTGCCTGAGTGCCTGGCTCAGGGTTTTGTTTCCTGCCTGACACCCCTCTGCTGCTGGCTCTGCCCCTCTTACTGGTCTGGCTGAATGGTTCATTGTTGTTGGACTTCTGTATAGTTCAATTTTCTGTGTTTTGGCTGCGTTTTTTGTTACTAAAACTTTGTTGTTTTTAGACTTGGTTGTGCAAGAAGGCACAATGTTTCCACCTACGCCTCCATCTTGGCGGAAGTCCAGAAGTAGGTCTTGAGTAACAGTTTGATTCCTAAGTCCACGTGCTGAATACCATTGCCTAGTTACCCCATCACCAACATAAGAGGCAAACAGGACAGGGGAAAGTTCTATCTGTAAGGAAAGATGAAAGGTGTCAGTCACTGGGTTTATCTCACCAAGCTTAGATCCACATTGTGGTCAGGCAGCAGGATGAGCGTGCTTAGCTCCTCACTCACATAGGGCAGCTCCAGCGTCTGGGCCTTCACCTCTTCTATATAGGCAACTGGAACATCATCTGTACTGGCCTTTGGTCCTTCTGTTGGGAATAAACACATAAGCATGGAATAAAAAGCAGATTGCTGAAAGACAGAAAGTCTCAAGAAAAAATGCAGTCGACTCCAAGAGTGTTTCTAGCAGCTGTGGTGAAAGCAGTATTTGTGCTCTAATTAGCACTTATGAAATGGCTCCCCACTCCTTCCACCACCAAGACAAGGCATCTATTGTGAGCAGGTATGGCTAACACCAGAAGATGTTTCATTGAGCAGCAAAAATGTGGTACTCTGCATTTACCGGAAGAACTAGTCTGATATTCTCCATGTAAAATATGCTCTGTAAAAATATTTAAGAGAACAAAGGAGTCACAAATTTCTCTCTATTACAACAGGTTTTATGAAAAAGTGGGATGAAATATGTAGTTTCAGAGCAGTGTGACTGAAACTGTGCATAGATATACCCTTGCAGAAAGCGGCCTCCTAGCAAGTACAAAACCAAGAATCAGACATGCATTTTAACTCAATGTTCCCAATTATGATACCATAATATAGGAAAATACTTTTTAAATTATTAAAGTATTTGCCTGAAGAAGTCAAGTATTATACTTATTAAATTTATTTTTAAAGTTGTTACAGACTATTCCATTGTAAAAGTTAAAATTGTTTCTAAAATCAATGCTACACAAATTCTCTCCTCCTTGCTTTGCAACAAGAGAACTGATTATTTAAAGTACACCTTATAAAACAAACAAACAAACAAACAAAAAACCCAAGAAAGCATTACCTGTATACTTTTCCAATTAATTGAAATGGTATTTTTTAAAGGCTAAAAAATTTGGCAAACTATTTTAATGTCTGCCTACATTGAAGATATACCTCAATGTCAAGACTAAGGCCTTAGTTGTTTTAATATTTGCAACTTACAAGTACTTTATTTATAAGGATAAATTGTCAGCAATTCATGCCTACACTTATTTTGTTTTAAAATACCTGATTAAAATAATATTTTTACATTTGATCTCTCCCCCTGCAATGCACACAGGTCTCACACTCCCTTAATACCCATCTTTTGCTTTTTATCTAAAAAACTTGAACTTAAAGAAATACCTTAAGTTTCCTGAAATAGGTGGCAGTAATGGGTATAGGAGAAACTAAGAGGCAGTAAAAGGGGTAATAAAATACAAATTTTTTCCTTTTTTAGTTCTTTTCTATGGAGTGTATAATTTCATTCCAAAATGTGTTGTTTCAAATTATTTTTAACTAATCCTTTTATTCTTTCACAAAGTTAAATTTTTCCATTCATTTTTTTCATCAAACTGGCAAGATTTTTAAAAACTTCCCCCACCAGGCTTATTTTAAAAGGCATTTCCTTTGTGCATGTCTTTTTGAAGGGTCCACTCCATCTTCCTTCGAAGCAGACAGCATTGACAACAACCAGCCTTGTCTGTTCATCAACAGTGTTTTCTGGCAACAAGTTCCAAATTTTAGCTTTCCAGAAAAGTAGAACATTCATTCAGCTGATTGTTATAAAAATATGATGAGTAAACCGTGATATGGTTTATTGACAGGTCCTTGATTATTAGTCAAGAGCTAAATATTCTTTTGTCACATCTGCACAGTTTGGGTTGTTTATGTACATGAATAAATGGCACATACGAGTGGCATTGGTGATCACCAGTACTTCAGAAACATTAACGAAGTTGATGACAGCGAAAGACTACATCACGGTTGTATTGGCTGTAATACTTGATTAAATAAAGGGTTTTATCTAATGCTCCAAGAAGGGGTCCAGTGCTCAATTCCAGACACATGTGGGCACAGCAGAGGCAGCCAGAATGAATGGCTTAAATGGGAAATGGCTGCCAATGGGCAGTGTGGGTACATCACAAAGCATCTGGAAGCCTCTAGAATAGAGTTCACTATTTGATCCTTTAAACAAAACATGAGACATTCCTGGAAAAGTTGAAGTGGGCAAAAAAAATAGGATACTCCCTTCTTCCATTTAATACCAAGTTGTACACTCTGAAATACAAAGAAATAAGGTTCAACCTTAAACAAAGCGTGATTTCAATCCACAGAAGTGATCAGTCCTGACACAGGGCTTGCACTTGGTCTATCATGTATGTCTAGGTTTATCAAGTCTAATTAAGGGAGGGGAAGTGGAAGACGTGGTAGAAGCAATAGAATGAGTAAGATGAATGTGTAGAATGAAGGCAGTGGTAATGGATGGCCACATAGAATCTGGAAAGAGGAGGCTCAAGGAAGATTTGACCATCAGTCTCCTTCCTACAGAGACGATGCAATCACTCAGCATGAGAAAGTTATAGGCCAAGTAAAAGTATGTTTTAGTACAAGTTATTAAATGGAAATTTTCGTCTATGGATTTCTTCGGATATTTGTCAATCAAATAAAGTCCTGGGAGAATGGACAAAATTTAATCTCTGCTGTTGAAAATCTGAGCACCTGATGGAACATTTTGGGTAGATTAAATTTTAAATATACCATAAGGTCCAGCCTATGAACATTACTCTGACCATGTGAAACACTAGTAAAATCAGAGAGGAAGAAGGCAAAAGAGGAGGAGAGAGAAGAGCAGACATGGGAAGATCGGAGAGGGAAGGAGGTGTAGGAGAAGGAAGAGGTCAAAGAAGAAGAGAAGGAAAATGGGGAGGAGGTACAAATGGGGTGGCACATGGAATGCTGACCTCCAGTCACTTCTGAGACCCAAGTACTGATATGTTTCCTGGACTTCTCTGCAACTTTGGCCAAGGAAAGCTGCTCCAGCTCAGCCTGATAGGACCAGAGACAGAGTTCCTTAAAGGTCTTTGGAGAGACAAGTATGCAATGAGTCTATATTCCTAAATAAAATAGCAGTCTCCAAAAAATTCTGAATATTACATTCATGTTTATGAAAAACAACATACATCTCTTAAAAGTGACCACAACTTACTCTACTATATATTAAAATATCAGAGTTTATTAATAGGTAAAGTAGTAACCGTGAATAACCAGAAAAAAGGATAAATGAATTTTAGAAGTAGTCAAATTTTAAATAATTCAAGGTATAGTTACAGAATTATGATTTTTAAAAACAATATTTACCATAAGTTTTAGTTCTTTAGGATCTCTACGTTTTGAATATAACTTTTATTGTTTTGATTCAACTTACTGAAAGGAATTCACAAGTCTTTTCTACAAAGAGCCTGCTGGCCGATCTGAGCAAGTACTGAGTACCAGGTTTGTTCCCTTCAGCAAGAAGGGACTGGAAAACCACATGAATGTCCTTCTCTGTGTTTAAAAAAATCACCTGTTGACAAAATAACTTAAAACTGTCAGTATTGTTCTTTGGTCTCAAAATCATCCACAACATTTTCCTTTAAAGGCATTGCTTTTATTTGAATTGCATATTTAATACATACTAGAGAAACAACACAGTGATGGAGTGGAGGGAAGATACAGAGGAAAAAAGAGAGAAAGAGAGGGAGGAGAGGAAGGAAGAAGAGAGAACACAGAAATAGCGGGAGTGAAAGAGTTGACTTTTCTGCCTAAACTGAACTCTTTTGTTGGAACACAAGCAACAGAAAAAAGAAATGAAAAAGATGAAAGAGGTTTCAGAAAGGTTTTTTTTTAAACAAATATCTAGCATCCTGCCCTATCCAGGTACCTCAGTGGGTTGGAGCATTGCCATGTAAACCAAAAGGTTGAAGGTTTGATGCCAGTCAGGGCACATGTCTAGGCTGCAGGATCGATCCCCAGTTCTGTCTCCTGCCCTCTATATAAAACCTCTTGGGAACAAACAGAAAGGGGATTCTCATCATTTGCAGATGTTTACTGGATATTTGCAAAACCCATCTTTCTAGCACATACAAAGTCTACATGTAATGAGTATATGCCTTTTATCCTCTCTTGCATATTTCTGTTTATGTTTTTTTTCTTTTTTAATATATTTTTTATTTTATTGATTATGCCATTATATTTGTTCTATTTCCCCTCCTTTATTCCCCTCCACCCTGCACAGCCCTCCCCCACCCCCCCCCCTTTAGTTCATGAACATGTGTCTCAAGTTCTTTAGATTCTGTATTTCCCCTACTACTCTTACCCTCCTCCCTATCTATTTTCTCTCTACTGTCTATGCTACTTATTTTCTGTACCTTCTCCCCCTTCTCCTCCTCCCACTCCCCTGTTGCTAACCCTCCATGTGATCTTCATTTCTATGGTTCACTCCTGATCTAGCTGTCCTCTTAATTTGCTTTTGTTTTAGGTGTGGTTGTTAATAACTGTGAGTTTGCTGTCATTTCACTGTTCATCTTTTTTATCTTTTAAGATGTTACCTTCACTGTTATCTTTTTCTTAGGTAAGTCCCTTTAACATTTCATATAATAAGGGCTTGGTGATGATGAACTCCTTGAATTTGATCTGATCTGAGAAGCACTTCATCTGTCCTTCCATTCTAAATGAAAGCTTTGCTGGACAGAGCAATCTTGGTCGTAGGTCTTTGGATTTCATGACTCGGAATACTTCTTTCCAGCCCCTTCTTGCCTGTAAGGTCCCTTTTGAGAAATCCGCTGACAGTCTGATGGGAACTCCTTTGTAAGTGACTGTCCCCTTATCTCTTGCTGCTTCTAGGATTCTTTCCTTTATTTTAACCTTGGGTAGTGTAATTATGATGTGCCTTGGTGTGTTCCTTCTTGGGTCCAACTTCTTTGGGACTCTCTGAGCTTCCCGAATTTCCTGGAAGTCTATTTCCTTAGCCAGAATGGGGAAGTTCTCTTTTATTATTTGTTCAAATAAGGTTTCCACTTGCTGCTGTTCCTCTTCCCCTTCTGGTATCCCTATAATTCAGATGTTGGAGCATTTAAAGATGTCCTGGAGGTTCGTAAGCCTCTCCTCGTTTTTTTTGAATTCTTGTTTTTTCATATTTTTCTGTTTGGTCATTTTTTCCTTTCTTCTGGTCTGCTCCCTTGATTTGAGTCCCAGTTTCCTTTCCATTACTATTGGTTTCCTGTGCATTTCCCTTCATTTTAATTAGTTTGTTCCTCTAATTTGTGACTAAACTCAACCAGTTCTGTGAGCATCCTGATCACCATTGTTTTGAACTGTGCATCTGAAAGTTTGGCTATTTCTTCATCAATTAGATTTATCGCCTCTGGGGCTCTGAGTTGTTCTTGAGCCATGTTTTGATCTGTTTGTGCCTGTTACATATGAGGAGGGGAGCCTTAGGTGTTCACCAGGGTGGGGCCACCCAGGTAGCTGGTTTGTGATGCTGTATGTGGTGGTGGGGTCAGAGAGGGAGCAATGGCGGCCCTCTCCACCTGCCTGGTCCACCTCACTGCTCACCCCCACCTGTTTATCTGAGCACAAATGTGCAAGCCCACCGCCCTGTGCTGGGGCCTTCACAGTCTGTCTCAATGCTAGTCTCTTCACTGGTTTATCTGTGCGCAAATGCATGACTGCAGACAGCCAGCCTTCCCTGGGTCCACCCGTAGCTACCCCGCACCTGGGATCCATGCCCTCGGCTGCCTGTGTTATGCTCAGGTTGGGGGATCTTTTTTGCCCGACCCACTCTGCTGCTGGCTTCGTCCCTCTCACTTGTTTAGCTGAGCGGTTCGTTATTTTGGGACTCTGTATTGTTCGATTTTATGTGGTTTGTTTGCGTTTATTGTTGTTAACACTTTGTTATTTTTAGATTTGGTTGTGGGAGGAAGCAAAGTGTTTCAACCTATGCCTCCATCTTGGTGGAAGTCCTTCTGTTTATGTTTTTTCTAAGCTAAAAGGCAAGGTCATCAATGACTTGAAATATGACAACTATGGTTACAAAGTCTTATTCCAAGAATGACATTATGTTTTAGCAACTTAGATTTCAAATAATTCCAGTATCATGTTCTAAACAAAAGCAAAGTGCTAGCACAAAGTTTAATATTTATATTCAGGTTATTAACTAAAGATACTTTTCCCAAAAATCTCAGGAGAGGAGACCCCTCAACCTGGCCCTTGGCATCTTTTCATGAGGGATAAAGCTTGGTGATGACACAGCAGAAGAACCTAAAACACAACAAGGTGGCCCCTTCCCTGAGACAAGAGGTGGGCAGATTTACCTGGGACATCTGGGCAGCAGTGTTTCCTTTCACTCTCAGAAAGACCAGAGCCAGTGCTGAGGGGATGCTCAGAGGAGAAAAAAAAACACGTTATGAGAAGCATTGTCTTCACATAGTATCTTTAAAAGGTAGAGGGCGAAGGTGTCATTTACTTCAGAAAGAGCATCCATATTGCAAGGTCTGGAGCCAGAGAATAAAGACAGGTGACAATTTTTATTGCTGCCCTGACACATGACAATTTTGGAATTATACTTTTTGTTTTTTGAATCTTAAAGCTTATACATCAGTTTGAAGGAAATCTGTTTACTGTCTCCACTAAAAAAATTAGTCTAAATTTTAAGGAAATTGGGTAAGTGTGGTAGTGGCAGCTAATGAAACTGATAAGCTCAAAGCTCACTTTACTGAAATGGCTTCCCCTCCCACTAGACCCCTTCTCCTGCTCCAACCTCCACCTCCAGTCCTGAACTACTTTCTCCCCCAGAGTCACCTCTGAACCTTTGAAAACACCATCTGATTCACCATCTCTTCACCAGGTTAATGACTCAACCGTCACATCTTCAAGAGGCTTCTGATTCCTCCCTAGACCAGGTTTCCCTTCACTCCCCCAACCTTCTCCCCCTGCATAACTCCCCAGTCTTGACTGCAATTTCTTCTTCACTGATCCAGGTCCCACTAGGTGGAAGCTATGGAGGCAAGGGTCTTTGGCAACACTGAGAGCTCAGAAAAATGGAAGGCTGGCTAAATTCGTGTTGAATTAATAAAATAATTAGGATGGATAAGAAGTTCTTGGATTTGCAGATGGAGACTGCTAATTTTAGCAGAACAGAGAAGACGTGGGGCCAACGTCCTTATGTGGACCCCAGACACAGAAGAGACAGGAGGAAAGAGAGGGGGCAAGTGAGAACAGGTCTGTATACAAGTGGGGGACCCAAAACACCTGGAATTTATTTATAAAAAAATGTGTATTTATTCTTACATGTTTAAACTTCAGTCTCCTTCAAAGTACACTCATTCCATTTAACACAATACACCTATCAAGACATTTTTCCACTGCTCAAAACAGTTTTTGAGCCCGTGGATTTTGCTTCTGCCATTTTTTTGTTTTACCTCTCTTCCACATTAGCAAAACGTTTCCCTTTGAACACATTTTTAATCCTGGGATACAAAAAAAAAGTCACTCAGGGCAAGATTGGGTGAACAAGGAGGGTGGAGTGCAGGGGCCATGGCATCTTTGGTCAAAAACTGCTGAACACAGTGCTCTGTGGGCGAGTGCATTTATACACCACCCATCATGAAGGGCAAAGCCATTGAAAGAGTCTTCAATCAAAAGTCACTAAAGCCAAAGGCAGCCTTTCACAACAAGACCAGCTAGTACACTGATACAGACCAGCACCTAGAACATTCACCTAGATGGCGAAGCCTGTACTACAAGGGGCCAATGCTCCAGATGTTAATTCTGTTCTTTGGGGGGGTCCCCCCATGGGTATGACCACCCTGGGACCATCGGACAAGCGGAAAGGCCACTGCGCAGGGAAGCGGCATGGGAAGAGCAGACAAAAGACCCTCAGGAAGGGGCAGCATCTAAGGCTTGCGGGGGAACCAGGAGGCACAGGTCCTGAGGCCAATCACAGTCAAAGCCCAACTGTGCCATTGACCTGTCCACCCAAAGAGCCTGGATTCTGCAAACAAGAAGACCCCACCATCTAGGGTTCACTTTGCATACCAGTAGTTCTCTGGGCCTTGCCTGGGTTTCTTTTTTTTTAATTTTTAATTTTTATTTAATTTTTATTTTTTAAATTATTTTTCAACTACAGTATTCTTTCTTTTACTCCCTTCCCAGCCCACCCCCCCATTCCCCCCACCTCCCACCCCTTTCCACCCCCCTTAGTAGTTGTCCATGTGTCCTTGATGCTAGTTCCTGTAAATCCTTCCCTTTTTTCCCCTGAAATTCCCTCCCCTCTCCCCTCTGGTCTCTGTCCCCCTGTTCTCTATTTCAGTGTCGTTGTTTTTATTCTGCTTGCTTGTTTGTTTTGTTATTTAGCTCCCTGTTAGCAGTGAGATCATACGGTATTTGTCTTTCACCGCCTGGCTTATTTCACTCACCATGATTCCAGTTCCATCCAAGCTGTTGCAAAGGGTAGGAGCTCCTTCTTTCTTTCTGCTGCACAGAATTCCATTGTGTATATGTACCATAATTTTTTGGTCCATTCATTTACTGATGGGCACCTAGGTTGCTTCTAGCTCTTGGCTATTGTTAATTGTCCTGCTATGAACATTGGGGTGCATAGGTTCTTTTGGATTGGTATTCTTAGGATATAGTCCCAGTAATGGAATTGCTGGGTCATAAGGCAGGCCCATTTTTAGTTTTTTTAGAAAATTCCATACTGTTTTCCATAATGATTGTACCAGTCTGCATTCCCACCAACAGTGAACTGGGGATCCCTTTTCCCCACAACCTCTCCAACATTTGTTGTTTGTTGCTTTGTTTATGATAGCCATTCTGACTGGTGTAAGGTGGTATCTCATTGTGGTTTTAATTTGCATCTCTCTGATTTGCCTGGGTTTCTAGATAGTATTCTGGGGATTGTTCTCCCCAAACCGCGCAGTACCCTGCAATGCCTGCACCTACCACCTTCAATGCAGCCTCACTCGTCCTCTCAGAGGACAGAGCCTGTCTCGGGTCTCAGAGCCTGGACCCCATGTCCGAAAGCACTGACTTGGCCACCAGGAAGCCAGCATCCCTTTCCAGGGCTCAGTCTCCCACAACAGGCCTTACAGGAAGGTCCACACACCTGCCCTTTATCACGGGACTGGGTGGAACCTGGGGGGGGGAACAGGACCATGGGTGGGGCACTGGGTGGCTTGAGGCAGGGGCAGCGCAGTCCACTGCCCCCAGGGACAAAGTTATGGATGCACCCTCCTGGCCTGGCATCACCTGTGGGATCCTCACTGGGTCGTGGCCACACTTGGATGGGCTAGTGGATGGGTTGTGGCCACACTTGAATGGCCCTCACTTCTTTCCCTTGCCAGAAGCAACTGCAAAATGGTCGTCCAAAAGGGACGTGTTTTCAAACTGATGGCTTTCAAACTTCACTTGAAGACTTTTGTAAGTGAGTCTAGAACCCCAGGTGCCTCTGAAGCAACCTCCCTGATGGCTGCCAAAGTAAAGAAATCAGGTGAGGGACTGGGGGAAAGTGCCAGAGAACTTGGAAGCCTGGGCTTCTCTACTTCCGGGAAGCAACAAAGGTGGAGTGACAGCCTTCTGTGTAGGGTAATAGGTCCTGTGGATCTTTATTCCACTCTTGTCTTACATAGATGTGAGTCAGCTGGAATAAGGTATTCACTTTGAGGTCCCACAACTCACTAGGAGTCCTGAACCCACACACAGAAGCTAGGTGTCCTAACTCCCAGTACCTGAGCCATTTCTACTACCTGTACTTGGGCTGAGCTCATGTGTAAGCAGCTCTACTGTGTGCCCTCCATGTGACAGAAACAGACAGAAGTCAGACTGGCTCAGGACATGAGGTTCACAGGCAGGGTGGGCTTCTGGCTGGTTGATGCAGAACAATCTTGTAACAGGGAGTATCTTCATTTCTAAATGGGGTGGGATTTAACGGAGACATTCTGCCATTACTCTAAACTTGTAAAACTTTAAAATAAATAGTTCCTTTCCTTTTGACCAAACTCTGGCTTTGAGAGCTACAGTTCCTAACACAATGGCAGCAGGCAAACATGAACCATATTTTAAAAAAAGGCCCTGGGGGAGGATGTTTGTTTTTGTAACAATACCCCTTAGCAATTATTCTCAATTTCCTCCTCCCCCCAGCTCCTGGCAACCACTAATCCATTTTCTGTTTCTTTGGGTTTGCCCACTCTGAGCATTTCATGTGGATGAAGTGATATGATATGTTATAGTATTTTGTGGCTGCTTTCTTTCACAGCACATTTTCAGGGTTTTCCCTTAGTAGTTCAAGGTAACATTTATCTGTATTTGCTTACTTTTTATGTCTGAGTAATAGTCATAATAATATTGACTGTATCAATCGATGGATATTAGAGCTGATTTAACACCAACAGAAAATTTCAATTAGAGGTTCAGCGAAGAAAACTTTATGCAATGCAAATACATCCATTGTGACACAGCAAAGGCAGTGAGAACAGCAAACATATAAGGAAGACTTGGGCCAAGGAGGCCCTGGCAGGAAGCACCTCTCTGCCTAGCTAGCCTTTCTCTGCTTGGCCTGCTACACCTGCTATGTCTAGATCACCTGTCTGTGGGTCTGCTTCACTCTGGTCTGTAAGAAATGTGCTTACCCTGTCTGCAAACAAAGGACTCAAAGGCTTGGAGTACATCAAAAGCAAGGCATTTATTTACAATCTTGTAAGAATGGGCTTCCAACCATTAGCAGTCACACCCAGGTGGTGCAAAGCAGTTTTATCCCTAAATGCAATTGGTCCCTCCCCATTTCTCCACTGGCTGAAAACTCTGTGGTTACAATCTGGCATGATTTTGTCTAATTCTAATTGGCTCCCTGCTGCCTCTGCCTTTGCTTCCTTATTGGAAATCCCCTAGCTTATTTTTCTTCAAGTAGTTTAGCCACTCTGTGGATTTGAACTTATGTATCTTCTGGAAAGTTTCTACTAGACCTCAGGGTTTGAGAATCACCTCACATTGAGTTACTCACAGATCTGACGAATGTCTTAGGGTGTTTCATCTTTTGTTTTTCAGCTCCAGCCAGGGACACCAGTCTAGTCACTGGTGGAAACTGGAAGTGCACACTCATGACTTACATACAGAGAAGTCCCCACCCCTGGTGTCTGATTGCTCCATCCTCATGCAAATGAGGAATCAAATCTACACAGCTTGAATGGTGCAGAAGGCACTGTCCTGAATGGTTAGAGTGGAGCTGCTCTGATTGGTTGGTGCAGCTCTGACTGGACAGGAAAAGTCTCAAGTCTTATGGTTGAAGTGCAGTTCCAGGAACTCCTTTATAAGAGCTGGCTCAGACTGCAGGAACGTAAGTGCAGGCAGTCACTTCAGTGCAGTCTTCTTCCTCAAGGACAGTTTGCCTGAGGTTTTTGTTGTTTGTGTTTTGGTTTTTATTTTGTTTAATTTGAGCCCAGTTAGCCAGCAGAAACTCTTCTTCCTCAGGTACAGAAAGATACCTAT